ACAGGTTAAATGAGGGTCAGTGGGACTACAGTTGTAGGGAAGCTCCTGTCTCATTTAGTAGGTAAGAGTTCAAAGACATAGGGCTAGGAAATGCTAGCTCTGCCGTCTTTGAAAGTACTTCCTGAGCTATGAGATGATGAGAAAGCTTACCCTGTACAGACAGACCCTGGGAGAGGAAGGCTGGTGCCTCCTCAACTCATCTACATTAGACCTTCTGACTGATGTTCTTGTGCCTATTTCTAATACTGAGCTTGATTTTTGGAGCCCACAGGATACTCCTGACACTGACAGCACATAGTCACACATCCTATGTACAAGGATTCCAAAAAGAACTATTAGCCATCTAGTGTTTATTTGTACAGAGGCCACTCACCACCATGCTTGTCTGTAGTGGGCCACACAAGTGGGATGATGTTATTTTCCTGACTTCACCCTTGGTATTCCTGAAGCTATGATTACCACCACTCTTTTCTTCTGCTCAGGAATCCAGTGGGAAGGCCCCTTGTGACCATCTGAGGATCCTGCAGAGCCAACATGAAGCTTCCCACACTATCCTATCAGCTCCAGAACTTTTTAGGCTGCAAAGGTTCAGGAGACTGATGATAGGAATTAAAAAAATAATAATAATAAATTACATTTAGAGCTTCTAATAATGCCTAAAATATAAAATTCAACAACTCTGCAGTGATTCAAACAATGGAACACATTATAACAGCTGCCATCATGGGTCTTCCCTTCCTAAGTAAGTGGTTTTCTTGTAAATGGCCTAAAAGAAGTAACAACAGGGTAGGAACATACTGCCAACATTCATTTCATTCCTTCTGAACAAAGTAAGCATAATAATCAACATAGCCACCAACCAGCAACTACAGATTAGGACTTTGTAAGCCATGATTTTAAACCCAGAATCACAGTAACTGTTTCTTCTCAGGCCAATTTTGTGTTACAGAGCCAATCTGTCCTGACATACTGAGTCACCAGACACTAAGGTTGGGAGGAAAATGCAGCACAAGGTTCTCTACTGAATGCTGGACAGAGTATCTAAGAATTCAATGACATTGAACAAGAAAAGTCATAATCTAGAACTTTAAGCAGGATATAAAAATGCAAATCAAGGCTGATTTAACTATAAGAAAATTGACAGTTTCATTTTTTAAATCCCTAAACACCTCTAAATATCACAGTTCATTTCAATGAATGGCACAAAAACTGCAGAATTAAGTCCATTAATGCAGCTAATCTGTTTAGTTTTAGTTTGGGGGTAGAAATAAAAGAAAACATCTGAAAAGAATATGGCTCTCTAAAATGTCAGTACTTGTTACAAAATTCTTTACATGTGCCGGGCGGTGGTGGCGCACGCCTTTAATCCCAGCACTCGGGAGGCAGAGGCAGGCGAATCTCTGTGAGTTCGAGGCCAGCCTGGACTACCAAGTGAGTCCCAGGAAAAGGCGCAAAGCTACAGAGAGAAACCCTGTCTCGAAAAACCAAAAAAAAAAAAAAAAATTCTTTACATGTTTCCAGTGTATATAATATTAAAATAATTGGAAACTCCCATTTCTGAATAAAACATATGGCATCTTACATGAGAACCTGAACCCCAGCCACAGACCTGTTTTCTGCTGGGGTAGAGACAGGCTCGTGTGCTTTGATTTCAGAGGGGCATGATTGTTGGGACAATGAAGTACAGAGGAACATGTCCTGCAGAGTCAGAGGCAGCAAGTAGTCTCAATTCAGAGCAGTGTGATTCTGATCCTTTGTCCGTTATTCTCTGACTTCCAAAACTAACATTATCTCACTGTCAGCTACTGGAGAGGAACTTCTGTAAATCCTAGCCTTTATGTTTCCTTTATATAGACAGCACAAAATCTACCTAGGAGGACTTACTCCTAACAAACAGCCCACACCAGAAAACAGTCCGTTTCTCCATATGATAAGGATACCTGACAACAGCTTTGGAGGCTGGGGTAGCAAACCCTGAACTGTTGGGTGAGATCCAGTGATTTCCATCCTGGGGAGCTAAAGGACACCACTGTGTAGCATGAGTCTTAAAGAGTCTTATTAATAAAATCAAACCTGTGGCCAGTTATTGGGGTAAATACTGGAAGATCAGAGAGACAGAACAAGCCACAGCTAACCTCACCTGGCCAACTTCTCAGCTGATCTTGTTTCCTCAGACTGGAAGCCTCTGTGTCCTCATATCTGAATGGCTCTCAGCTGAACTGTGCTGCTCAAAAACCTAAAAGCTTAACCAGCCCAATTGCTTAACCAGCCAAAAGCTTCTAGTTTCTGGTCCTCATGCCTTATATACCTTTCTGCTTTCTACCATCACTTCCTGGGATTAAAGGCTCACTTTCTGGGATTAAAGGCATGAGTCACCATGCTTGGCTGTATCCTTGAACAGATCAATTTCTGCCTCTGGAATGTTAGGATTAAAGGCGTGTGCTACCACCACCTATCCTAAGTATCTAGTGGCTTTTCTGTTCTCTGACCCCAGATAAGTTTATTAGGGTACACAATATTTTGGGGAACACAATACCACCACACCACTGCCCGGTGTAAATGGAATTACCATAGGCTCCATGACAGCACATGCTGTCAGATACTATTGGCCATCTTCCAACATCTTTCCCAATTAGAAAGGGGGAATATAGAATATTCTATGCCTTTGAACTTTAAAAAAGCAACTTCTAGAGTCTGTGGTCACTGAACACTATGATTTGTGGTTCCTTAGCTCTGTTTACTCATGACCCTTTCAGGACACAATGAATGTTACAGTTCTTCATTTCTCTCACTGAAATATGCCTCACAGAAGTCCTGCAGACACTCTGGGGCCCTGAGTCCCCAGAACCTTTTGTAATCATGGTGAAGATAGCTCATTGATCCCCTCTGCTCCTAGGAGGATAGTGTATATTCTGTCTGTATTTTTATCTATTCTCACATACTAACACACACTACTGCCTACGTAGGCAGAGTAGCTTGTGTCTCTGCCCTAAAACTCTATACTAGAAGTGGTTCTGAGATCTCCCATGGCAAAGCTCAGCATCTACCCTATATGCAGACAGAAGTGGCATCAAGGGTAGGTTGGGTAGGATGGGCTTGGAAAGACAGGCTGAGGCAGGCAGTCTGAGTAATAGGGACTGATCTGGGCACATACCCTACCTGGAACAACCCTCAACCCCCAAGAGTCACAGAGCTACCACAGGGATATAAAGGTACTATCCACTGCCCAGGGACCTCTCAAGGGCAATCAAGGCATTTCCTCTTGTCTTACAGGTATACTCCACAGCATCATCAATACCAGCTCAGGGTATATAGGTCTTCAGCCTCTGACTTGAAATAGGATAGGGAACTCCCTACTCCAGGAAAGGCAGGCCTGAGGTCTGTGTCTATATACCCAAGTGCCAGTGACTAGTCCTTAGGATCAAAGGGAGAGGAAGGTGTGAAATAAGTAAAAGGTGCCAATTTAGTAAAAGCAGACACTATGTGAGCTACATTCAGAATTCACAGAATAATGCTTGTTAGAGGAAAACCAGTTGCCCTGATAGTAAGGTTGAACTGAATGCCTAAAAGCATCCCTCGAGAAGGTTGTTTTATGAGCTTTTCCCTCTGGATGGACCAGTGTAATATGGAAATAAAGGCTGGTGTAGTCCAACTTGACTTCATATGGAGTCAAACTCCCTATTAGGAAGCAACTGCCTGTCCCAGGCAAGTGGCTACATGGTAAAGGAACAGAAAGAGACAGAAAGGGAGAGAGGAAGAAGAAAGAAATCTTTCCGTTTCAAAGTGACAAGTACTTCCCCAAATGATAGCAGGATAGAAAGACAGTGAATGTTAAGGGGACACAGGCAGAGAAAGGAGCCCTTCACCCAGGAAGGAGTTGGCATGAAGTCGAATTCCAGTATAATAATAAAAATCTGCCGTGGAAGTTAACTACATAGGGACAATTTGTTTTTATACAGAGATATTTCAAGTAAGAGTGTTAAAACACCAACAAACATGCTTAAGGGTAAGCATGTATGACCCTGTTGCATTTGCCCCGCTTTTTTTCCAGCTGTAAAACTTATATTTTCTAAGAATCTCACAAGAGTGTAAACTTTGTTTACAGTAAAAGCATGTTCAACTCCCTGTAACCTAATATAGTAAAGATTCCTTCAACTCTTCTGACCTATGGTTTTACCTTATTAACCTTTAATCCTGTCCAATGTACCTCAGGAACTACCCTCTGATCTCATTTACAAATGAAACAAAAAAAGAATTTCTTAGAATCCTTTAAATAATCTAACTTCCAGAAGCCACCAAAATTATATGTATAGCTATTTTTATTCATTCATTCATTCATTCATTCATTCACTTATTTATTTTCTGGTTTTTCAAGACAGGGTTTCTCTGTGTAGCTTTGCAGACCAGGAACTCGCTTTGTAGACCAGGCTGGCCTTGAACTCACAGAAATCCACCTGCCTCTGCTTTCTGAGTGCTGGAATTAAAGGCATGCGCCACCACCTCCTGGCTATGTATAGCTATTGATATGACCCTTAAGTGACTCTCTTGAGAAGTCTATGCCAGTCCTTGGGGGTACAGAATCTTTTCCTAAATACTTGTCTACTAATGCTCTGCTTAAATCTATGTTAAAATCTCTTCTTAATAAACTCCAACTCTACTTCATAGTGACTTGACCTGAATTTCTTTTCTTTGGTGAAGTTAAGAATTCTGATCTCACTTAATGGAGTTCTCTCAAAAGAGCACCTTAGGCCTCTATAGGCATCAAGGTAGAGTTGTAGCTCCAGTTCCTACTCCTGTTCCCACTAACCAGAAGCATGTTTATCTTCAAAAGGAGCCATCCTTAAAGGCTCAGAAACATGGCAGTCACAAATCTCCCCTTAATTTGACGATCTGACTGTAAACAGATTCTTTCTAATCCCAATGAATAAAATCTCTATTTTAAAAAAATTACTAGCATTTCATTAAAAGTGGTGACAACACAGGAAAGGTGTTGTACTCACGCTTGTTGGGTGCTGAACAGCAGCTTCATGTTGCAGCCTCACTCTCTGGGGCATCATAACATCATCCTGCATCAAGAGCACATCTTACATTACTACAAAGCAATTCCAGCACAGTAAGAAAGGTACCCAGCCCAAGAACACAGCAAACAATGTGAGTAGGAACCTCAGGTATTCACAAACCAGGACCCTCTTTGGTCACCAAGGAAAGGCAACTATGTGACTGGTGGGGAAAAAAGAAAATCCGGCAGTCCAAGCACACTTAGGATGAAGAACAAGGACACCCATGTGTCTGTGTGAAGTATCATAGTTGTTCTCAGAGATGTTTTGGCATCATCCAGTAAAGCTGGAGGTACAGATTCCCTAAGACTTAATAATTTTACCTTCTTTATAGAAAAGATCCTCTACCCAAGTAGGATTTGGACAGCACTTTCCAGACATAGAATATTCAAGTCAATAAATATCAGACGGTAAAACAAACTACAGCCAACACTGCTCTCAAAGGCCACTCGGTGGGGAATGCAGTCACAGCTGTTCAGATCAGTAAATCCAGACAAAAGAGCAGATACAGTATCACTTCACATACTTAATTTCAAACCTTAGGAAAGTTGACCGCATTATTTATTAAGTGCACACATAATGAAAACAATAAAGACAGGTGAGGGCAGTGTGGCCCCAAAAGCCCAAACTGAGGTCCCTTTGAACAGGAAGTTGCTGGAAGCAGCATCATGGCAGATACCTGACGTGTTGGCAACAGGTGGCTCCTTATATATGCTCCACAATATAAGGTTTTGAGCATTTTTCTGTAGGAATGTTTCATTTCATAGTAAAATAAGGTATTTTCAGTGAATGAATAACCAACAAAGATTTAAGTATTTAAAGGGGTATGGGAGTAGGTGACAGGGGAAATACTTCTAATGTAATGTTACAATGACTGGACCAGAAATTAAAGGGCCACCTGCCACTCTGGACTCCTTATGCCCATAAATAAGCAGATAAAGAAAGGTTATGGTGTATGCCAACGGGGCTGACCCAGACTATCAGGGAAAACCAGATGACTACTCTACAAAAGAGACATATATATAAGCCAATGGCCAACATATCCATGGGCCCTGGTATGCATGTTCTAAGAAGCCAGGGGCCTAACCTATAAAATAATTTAGATACATAAAAGTTGTATTTTTTTTAAGACAGACTTTGTTTGCTTTGCTTTAGTCTATCAGGGTTTCTAAGGACAGCACAATTTGTATACAGTCTCTGTTCATCCATTATAATCAAGTGTCCTATTCCTAAGAATGCCCATAAATATGACAGTTCTCTAACAGTCTGCTAGTGTTCTCCGTCAGTGCTCAGTCTGCACACAGTAACTGGTTTCTAATTTCTGTTATAATAAACAACTGTGAAAATCAGGAGTCAAGGGGACAAGCATTTTAAGTTCTTAAACAAAAATGCACAATCATGCTGTCAATGTGTTACCAATTCACACTGAAATACTATCTACATTTTGAAAACTTAATTTGCTTTGTATAAGTATCTTGGTAATTTAATTTGATTACAAATTAAAATTTTAATATAACTTTGATTGACTTGAATCTCTGTATATGTCTACCTGTCACCTATCCTCTACCTATAAATTTGCTTCATGTTTTGCTTTAGCTGTCATGAACTGTTTCCATTTCCTTATCTCTCAAGTATCATATTTGCTAGTACTGTGCTTATTTTAATGTTGTTTATATTCTCTTGTGGTCCTGTTTTCTATTTTTATATGATCATACTTATTGTTAATTAAGTGCTATGGCAGCATGTAGCAACAACCTATTAAACTTGACTTTTTTTTTTTTTTTTTTTTTGGTTTTTTTCGAGACAGGGTTTCTCTGCGTAGCTTTGCGCCTTTCCTGGAACTCACTTGGTAGCCCAGGCTGACCTTGAACTCGCAGAGATCCGCCTGCCTCTGCCTCCCGAGTGCTGGGACTAAAGGCGTGCGCCACCACCGCCCGGCTTAAACTTGACTTTTGAGATTCATCATAACAAATCTAAAAATTTATTAAGAACCACACTATTCTTTGGTCAATACATACAAAGCCACAATAAACAAAACAGAGAGCTACTTACTGAATCCAAAAAACAAAGGTAAGACCCTGTGCTCTGTGCGATTGCTTGGTTTTTAGAATATCCAACTGTTAGAAAAAAGAGAAAACAGCTCTTTTAGAATTCAGTGTTCAATAGCATAAAACCAAGTATACTTTATACTCTGAGAAAGCTAAGGTCATTCCAAACTACTACCAAAACTTCAGGTGTAATTTTGAAGGAATGAAAGGAAGGTAAAAAGAAAGCAATGTCCATGTTCATTAATGATATTAGAAAATGCCAAGGATAAGTCATGACAGGCATCTAGAATAATATTAAAATAAAAATAAAATATCTTTGGGAAGAGTCTAAAAGTCTGCTTACACGGGAGAAGCACAAAGCCTACTTATGTGTAACTGGTTGGTAAATGCTTCAATTTGAATACGTTATGGATGGCTAGCTGAGCACTGTATCCCTAGTGAGGTGAGGTGACTGCCAATGTCTTCGACATCTGAGTGTGGGTACACCCAACCCAGGTCATTGCCTGAGTATGAAGATTCAGCTCTGACGACAGTGTGCATTACTCATTACAAACTCAACAGAACTTTATTTAGTCATATTAGTCATCCTAAAAGTCCGGAGCTGGGCTATTAAATACATATTGGGAAAAAACAACTTATTTGACAGTGAACATGAAGAGCCTAGGGTTTCATACAGCAACACAGGTGATCCTCACTGTACTGCTGAGAGAAAGGTTCAGACCCAGAGGAGAGGAGACTGCAGGGGACACAGAACTCAGAGCAAAGAGGTCCTTCTGGGCTTAAGAGCTGGGAAAGTGGTTGTCCTGGATGGAGAAGCCAGCTTGGCCTGGGCTTCAGGGGCTGGTGATGCCTTAACCCCAGGGGATAGATATTAAAGTGTTTTTTAGAAAATTTTCCTTCAAAGATATTACAACTGAGTTGTAAAAAACCAAGCAAACAAGCAAAGCCGGCAATGGTAGCGCACGCCTTTAATCCCAGCACTCGGGAGGCAGAGCCAGGCGGATCTCTGTGAGTTCGAGGCCAGCCTGGATTACCAAGCGAGTTGCAGGAAAGGCGCAAAGCTACCCAGAGAAACCCTGTCTCAAAACAAAACAAAACAAAAAACAAACAAACAACAAAAAACAAGCAAACAAGCCGGGCGGTGGTGGCGCACGCCTTTAGTCCCAGCACTCGGGAGGCAGAGGCAGGCGGATCTTTGTGAGTTCGAGGCCAGCCTGGGCTACCAAGTGAGTTCCAGGAAAGGCGCAAAGCTACACAGAGAAACCCTGTCT